TCGTTGCCGCCTGGATTACGACGACGACGACGACGGCGACGGCGGCAGCGGCGGCGAAAAACGACGGCGACGACGACAACAACGACGTACTCTGTTGATTCGTATCGTTTTCACCACCTCTCTAACACCGATGTTGCAATGGACTAAGGGGTCACTAACGCAATTTTTTTTTTTGGGCGTCGGGGGTTCTCATAGCCGCTTGGATTACGACGACGACGGCGACGACGATGGCGACGGCGGCAGCGGCGGCGAAAAACGACGGTGACGACGACGACAACAACGACGTACTCTGTTGATTCGTATCGTTTTCACCACCTTTCTAACACCGATGTTGCAATGGACTAAGGGGTCACTAACGCAATTTTTTTTTGGGGCATCGGGGGTTCTCGTTGCCGCTTGGATTACGACGACGACGACGATGGCGACGGCGGCAGCGGCGGCGAAAAACGACGGCGACGACGACGACAACAACGACGTACTCTGTTGATTCGTAAAGTTTTCACCACCTTTCTAACACCGATGTTGCAATGGACTAAGGGGTCACTAACGCATTTTTTGGGGGGGGCGTCGGGGGTTCTCGTTGCCGCTTGGATTACGACGACGACGACGACAACGACGACGACGAGGGGCGGGGGAGGGGGGGGAGGAGGAGGAGGAGGAGGAGGAGGAGGAGGGGAGGAGGAGGAGAGAGGGGGGAGGAGGCGGAGGAGGATGGAGGAGGAGGAGGAGGAGGAGGAGGAGGAGGAGGAGGAGGAGGAGGACGAGGACGAGGACGAGGACAAGGAGGGAGGAGGAGGATGAGAAGGGAGGAGGAGGAGGACGAGGAGGAGGAGGAGGAGGGAGGATCGGATCGGATCGGCTACCCTCGAAGGTCCAGCGTCTAGCTGAAACAGCCGGGGGGGTGCGACACTTATGAGTGCGACAGCCCAGAACGCCTGCATAAGCAGGCTCATCCCACACCTCGAGCATGAATCGAGACATGGGGGGTATGGAAATGAAGAGGGGGACGAGAACCCCCAGTAGACAGATTGAACCTCCTTCCCCCATCATCCCTCTTCCCCCCCCCGTCCTCCAGGGATGAGGTAAACATGGAAAGGTAGACAGATTGAACCTCCTTCCCCCATCATCCCTCTTCCCCCCCCCGTCCTCCAGGGATGAGGTAAACATGGAAAGGTGGAGCCAAGCTGACTGCTCCACGAATGCTGTGCTGCTCCCAGCCGTCCCCCCGACCCCTCTTCATCCCTCATTCCCCCCCCGTCCTCCATGTAGAAGCCGTCCCCGCGCTGCCCACGAGCGGCCGGATTCGACGGCGGCGGGCGCGGGGGGAGCGCTGGGAGAGGATGAGGAGGGAGGAGGAGGGAGGAGGAGGAGGGGGGAGGGAGGGAGGAGGGAGGAGGAGGGAGGAGGATGAGGAGGGAGGAGGAGGGAGGAGGATGAGGAGGGAGGAGGAGGGGGAGGAGGAGGGTGAGGAGGATGGGGAGGGAAGATGGGGGCGGACTTCTGGGGAGGGCGAACGGTGGGGCTTCTGGGTGGTGCAGTGGGGGCTCTTTGCCAAGAGATGCACCCTGTTTCCCTCCAGGGTGCCCCGGGTTCCTTGGGTTCCAGTGGCTTCCCATGCCAATAATCAATGCTGTGCTGTGCCTCCCTCAAGTTTTGGGCCCCCTTACTTGGGAGGAGGGGGAGGAGGAGGAGGGAGGAGGAGGAGGAGGAGAGGGGGAGGAGGAGGAGGAGGGAGGAGGACGAGGAGGGAGGAGGAGGAGGAGGGAGGAGGAGGATGAGTAAGTAACACTTGAGGGAGGCACGCCCTAAAATCAATGGACACCCTGGGGGTTCAGGGTTGGGCCTCTCGTAACTCTGACCTCGGAGAGCAACTCGGGGCCAACTCAGTGGGGAGATATCCTCGCAACTCTGACCTCGGAGATGCCCTGCCCCATGGTAGTCAGGCCACTTTCGCCTGAGACATCCTCGCAACTCTAGCTTCCGAGATGCCCTCAGCGAGGTGGTCAGGCTGCTTTCGCCTGAGATATCCTCGCAACTGTAGCTTCCGAGATGCCCTCAGCTTAGGTGGTCAGGCCGCTTTCACCTGAGACATCCTCGCAACTCTGACTTCGGAGATGCCCTGCCCCATGTCAGCTGAGGTGGTCAGGCCGCGTTCGCTTGAGACATCCTCGCAACTCTGGCCTCGGCTGCGAAGCGCCTCGAGGTCCCAAGATCGCCCTTGGGGCCTCCTCCTGAGGTTCTTTTGGGTCTCTTGGGGCCTCCTCCTGATCTCCTTTTCCTGATCGCCTCCTCCTCCTCCTCCTCCTGATCTCCTTTTTCTCCTGATCTCTTCCTCCTCATCCTCCTGATTTTCTCATCCTCCTCATCTCCTCCACCGCGTCCTCCTGGTCTGCTCCTCTTCCTGACCCCCCCCCTCCTGATCTCCTCCTCCTCCTGATCTCCTCCTCCTGATCTCCTCCTCATCCTCCTGATCTCTTTCTCCTGATCGCCTCATCCTCCT